CGCTTTGAGATGGCGTTTTCTTCTGGGATGTTGGTGGGAATCTGAGGGAGGATGTCAGCTTCCAAAAATAACTTTAAGGCCACATTTCAAAAAGGAGGAACCTAAGGCTTTTTTTTTTAGGGGGACGGGGGTGTGTGTGGGGAAGCAAGGCAGAGGAACATGAGGAGTGGAGAAGCCAGGATTAGGGAAGCGAGGAGCACAGGCAGCTTTCCTGCAGTGTCCATGGGCGGAGGCAGCTGGAGAATTCCCAGCTAAGGGGACGGGGGGCTTGGCAAGAGCTAAACCAAAGACAACTTGAGGCAGAGATGCAGGAGACGCAGGAAAGCCCTCATCAGTCTTAAGAGGGTCTGATACAGTATCTTGTATGCAAGGTTAAGAACAAAACAAACCTAAGACATAGACAGAGACAGGCAGAGAGAGAGAGGATTTGCATAGATTGTACATTCTGCTCAGGGAGATCCTGGACACCTTTATCCCCACCTCCCCCAGATAAACTCAGCAGACACAGTGAGGTAGCGCCTGTGGTAGGACCTATGGGCAAAATAACGAGGCAGAAGCAAAGAGGACGTAACTGGCTAAGGCATTCTGTGGGCAAGCACAGCTCCAGCATGGTTTCCAGAGGCGTGGCAAGATGGCCGCCCATGCACAGGATCTCGAGAGCTGGGCTGCTTTACACACCAACACCCTACTCTTGGACCCTGTCTTTGCCCTCTCTTGCTGGATGGAATTCCAGAAGGTGTGGATCCCTACCTAAAGGACAGCAGCTGAAGTCTTTAAATCCTATTTTTCTTCTATTCTGGAAAGGTATCTTGGGACCAAGAGAATGGAACAAGCCAGTCCTCACAGGATGCTTCTTCCCTGGGTTATCTTTGGGGTGGGGGTGGGGTGGGGGCAGGAATAATGGAAAGAGAGTCTCATTCCCTTCAGAGTTCAATGTGAGCTGTTGTTGTTACCCTTTCCCAATGCTGGCTTTTCCCACCCTCCACCAGGGCAATGCCGACACTCATTTGAAATCACCCCCAGAAAGTAGAGGTTGTTGGCAGTGCACAGGCTGAACTGTGGAATTCCTCCTCCCCACCCCACCCCCACTCTGTTAAATAGAATAAAAAAGCCAACACTTAAAAAAAAAAAAAAATCAAGAGACCTCCTGTAACAATCTGGGATTTCTGGCTTCCTTAAGAAACTGGAAGATTCTCCTACCCTGTGCCTGCATTCTTACATGCAAAGACAGGCTGGAACAGCAGCTGCCTTTTTGGGATGGGTTTTGTGTTTGTCAGCATGCCACAGTCTCCACCACTCCCTTTTGTCCAACCCGCTTCACTCATCTTTATTAGTGTTCTGGACCCTACAGGCATCCGGGAACCCTACCAAAGAGTGTGACTTTGACCTGGGAGCTATCCTTGCTGTCTTTTAAAGCCTAGAGTGCTGACAGCTGTTTTGAGTATCCCCTCCTTCATGCTGCTGGTGAGCTTGTGTCATGAAGCCTCAGTGAACTTGGTTGTGAAAGGGATCTTAGCTCAAGCCCTACACTTGACCACTGTTGTCTTCTCTACACCTTCTTGGTTGCAAGAGGAAAGTTTCAGCCAGGCTGCCAGTTGGTATCTGCAAACTAGAGAACCAGAAGGAAGCATGGTCCTCACAGCCCAGGCATGTGCCACAAGGAGCTGCAACTGACGTCTTTCCTGGGCCTTGCGTGGTCTCGCTCATCCTTTCTAAAGACTAGTTACATTTTCGAAGTTAAACCAACAATGGGGATAAGTAACTCCAATCAGAATGAGTGTTTTTCTAAAGGCAAGAACTGGTGCACTTTTTAAAACATGGGGACACTGGGAATTGCTTGATTTCTCCTTGGAGATGTGCAGGCTTACCCACAGCAAAGGGAAGTGGGGTTTTGGAAGCTGTTGGCTCCCTGAGCTTGCCTTCTGCCTGCATGTTACTGGGGTGAGTGGGAAGCTGTACAGAGTGCCACAGCCATGCGATACTTCCTTCTACCCCCAAACCCAAGTCCCACTTCTAAGTCTTCCTAAGTCCCCAGGGCCTTGGCTGGTAACTCAGCCCATGGTTGCTATGCCCTCAAAGACTGTCATAGGGTTTCCAGAGTTTTTGAAATCCTCATGCAGCCATAGTTCAACCACCTGACTAGAGGTCCTCCAATACACACATCATTCTCAGGCAAGGAGAGACACGAATTAAACTACTTTTCCTGAGAAAACATCACCCTTTTACAAACCATCCTGGCCTTGCTTTGCAATTCTCCGTTTTCATCAAATGTATTCTCTGGTCCAAAATCAGAGGGGACAAAAAACCAACCAACCAACCCACCCTGTATAATGGCTCAGCTCCCCAAATTAGTTTTGGGTGAAAGAGGTGTAAACCTGGAGGGGTGAGGTGTTGTCCCCAGAGTAAGCCAGGCCTGCTGCTTCTCCACTTGTTCCAGGACGGAGCACAAGTCACAATGACAGTGGCTGCAAGATGGGAAATGTCTAGGTGTCTGCAGGTTCACACTGCAGGGACATGGCAGGGCAGAGCCTCCAAGGCCACTTTAAAGAACTGGGGAAAACAGACAGAGGGTAGGAGGGTGCAGTCCCCAAGCTTCGACAGGCTGGATGCCAGGGACACTTGTGTGGAAGCAAAGGGTTGGGGCACTGAGAGAATGAGGCACAGGGCTCCTGCTTCCAGAATTTGTAAAAGCATCCCCAAATCACATGGGCCTTCCAAGAAGTCCAGTTTGAGTCCTTCGGAACCACTGTGGATGATGGCTGTCTCCTGGGCTCTTCTGGTCTGTCTGACCACTCTTTTCCTAAGATGGACTTCCATTTCCTCCTGGGCTAGGGAAGAGCATATTCCCCTCTGCCATCTTGCCACATGACATCCATGGTTACACTGGCCATAGGAAGTGGGCAGTACAGGCAGCAGGATACCAGCCCTCTCCACCCACATCTTCATCTGTCATGCCAAACCCCTCTACCTGGCGCAGGGTTGGCGGGGGGGGGGGTGGCTCAGGAAATCCAAGACCCCCAGAATCAGAAGCACAGATGAGGCTAACACTGCGATAAGGAAAAACAAGGCTCTGACGTTTGCAAAAGGCAGAACCACTTGAAGATGGGATGATGCTGGCGAGGCTTTACCTCGTGGTGTCCAACTCCCCTGCTCTACTCTGAGGACAAGGAGAATGCAGGGCAGACACAGAGAGATAGAAACTGAGAGACAAAGAGAGGGAGAGAGAGAGAGACACTAGGGGGTGGGGGAAAGGGGAAGAGGAAGCCAAAAGGATGGGGAAGGGGGCCTTTTGTGAATAAAGGCAGCTTTAGTTAGTAAGAGAACATAATTGACAAGCTGCAAAATCAGCACCTACTAATTAGTCATGGACTAAAACATATAAATAATAAATATCTAAAGTGTCCCTTCTCTGTATCCTCTCGCCCACAGGACATCCTGCCTTGCTGGGGGTGGGAATGGGGGAATAACACAGCTGACAGCTGGCCCTCAAGTCTATAGCAAACCATGGTACCTTCAAACCAATACTGGAGAAATACAAGGACTAGCTGTTCATGGTAAGGGCATTTTACAACCTGGGGCATGGCTTTCCAAGGGGATTTTGTCCTTTGAGGGAAGATGGGATTGGAAGGGGAAGAGGAACCTTCAGAGAGGGGCTGTCCAGTCTTAGCAGGGTGGCCCTCAAAGGGGCATGAGGCAAGGACACCCTTCAGATTTCTAGTAACTCAAGCCATTTGAATAACACTAGTTTTTAAGCAACTAGACACTCAACCTTCCCACTTTTATTCTATTTGCCAGATGGGCCTGTTGGCACCTCAGATAAGGAAGGCTGTGAATTTTAAAGCCAAATCTGAAATGCTTTTTCCTCCATGTGAAGAGTCTGGTCCATGCATTTTGGTCACTCCCAGCAGCACCGTGTGTGTGACTCACAAAGGTTTGAAGGCCTGACCTCAGACAGAAGGGCTCGGGCGGGTGACTGGTATTGCTGTGTTGTCCAGTTCGGAAGTTTGCTTCAACACTTTCTTGTGAGCTCTGTGGTCACGGGCACCCAAGGTCCCCATTTTCAAGGAACAAAGGGGTCATAGTCATGGTCTTCTGGCCCCCGAATAGGTACAGGACTTCATGTTCATGCCCTCATGTACCATCACCTCTCTGCTACCTCATGGGGCGGCTGTGAGGTGTCCCCAGATATGTAGCCTGGAACACTGGACAGATGGCAGCCATGCTTTTGGGTGACCTTGGCCATGCCACTCCAAGGAGCTGTTCTGTCCATCTAGTTACAAAGGAGGCAGGCTCAACCGGAAGAGGGCTGGGTGGAGACTTAGGACCTTTCCCAGCCTGCTGCCTCATGGAGGGAGGGCACGTGACTGTGACTTTCAGTGACCTGTTACTTCAGGGCTGGCACAAGGATTTCCCAGCCAAGAGCAGCAGGGAGATGAGCCAAAGGGTGAGGTTGGAGGTCAAACCCATGGTTTGGGCAGTGCATCTCAAAATGGGTTTTGCAGAGCCCTTGGGTTCTGAAGAGGTACCTTTGGAGATGCCCTCAGCAAAGGGATTGCCCAGGAGGCTGAGTTTGAGAAGAACTTCACACTTGCTGCTTTAACTAGAGCAGCATGGGGTTCATCTGCACCTTGAACTTCACTCAAGACTGCGCTTAATACACAGAGTTCAGCTGCTCAAAACAAAGGTGTGAAAATTGCTTGTCTGGGGGCTGAGCCACTGAGGGGGATGAAAAGGAGCCTGTAGGACTTGAGGATTGACCAGAAAAGCTGAGACCCCCATGGCGCCTGGAATGAGCAATCCTACTCCCAGAAGCCATTCTACTAAACACAGGCTGTTGGAGATCCTACTTTGGCCTCCAAACCTGCCTTCTCCATCATTCTATGGCCAGGAGTGCTCCTTGCACAAAAGGCACCCCCTGGGGAGGGGCCCAGGGTTCGGGCCCTGCCGGCCCTCTGGCTGCTTTCCCTTTGAGACCCCGCCGTGGCCCGCTGTGCCCAGTGCTACCTAAGGCGGCCATCGGGTTTGACAGCCCCCAGCTGCGACTTGGGGTCTGGGCTGAAGGAGCTCCAGGCCGTCTGGCTGCAGGCCTGCATTACAGGGCAGGCGGTGGGGCCAGTGGTGCAGATGTCCATGGCTGTCCACATGTTGCCCACCAGCGAGTCCAGCCAGCCCTCCAGCACCGCGCCCGTGGAGGCTGCGTGGCGCCGGGCCTGCTCCACCTGTGCCGGGCTGATGGGCAGGCTGAGCACGGGGTTCAGGCTCTGGAAGTTCTGCTCCATGTAGGCGCCGTGCAGGGGCCCGCTGTGCAGCTTCAGCGCCTCCTCTGAAAGCCAATGGAACAAGAGATGGTAAGAGCTGCGGTCTGTGCACCTCCTCTGTGCCTGGTGCCACGCTGGGCACCGCACATCATCTCATCTAATTCATCTTTTAGCAGACGCATTTTACAGGCGAGGAGACTGAGCCCACGAGAACATTCCTTCAACAGGGCATCTGTTCAAAACGTTCCGTGGAACACCGTCAGTGTTCAAGATGGCTGTTTTTCGTTCAAGAAATATTCTTAAGCACTTACTTTGTGCAGGGCATTCATTCAGCACAGATTTACTGAACATCTACTGTCTGCAAGGCAATTATTCATTTATTCATTTGATATCTATTTATTGTTGTCAATGTTAGCTGCCAGAGTCAGGCCCCTGACTCACAGCGACTGCATTTGTACAGAGTACAACTGCTCCCTAGAATTTTCTTGGCAATCTTTATGGTAGCAGTCTGCCAGGTTTTCCTTCTACAGAGACAAGGGATAGTGCCACACCCAGGCTCCTAACTATTCAATAGAAGTCTTTTTTCTTTTTTTTTTAGCCTTCTATTGGTATCACTACTTCTATTGGTATCTATTGCCTGTTGTTGTTATGTGTCAAGTCGACCTGACTCAGAGCGACCCCTCCTTGGGTTTCCGAGGCAGTATCACTACGGAAGTAGATTGCTCAACCTTTCTTCTGAGGAGTGGCTGCTGGGTTTGAACTGCCAACCTTCTGGTTAGCAGTCAAGTGCCTTAGGCACTACGCTACCAGAGCTCCTAAGGTTGGGCAATCTACTTCTGTAGTGATACCGCTTTGGAAACTCAAGGAGGGGTCGCTATGAGTCAGAGACAACGCGATGGCACATAACAACAACAACAACATTGTGATTTGAGTGGAAGTTCACAGAGCAAATTGGTTTTCCATTCAACAATTCATACACATTTTGTTTCATGACACTGACTGCAATCCCCACAGCGAAACAGCTCTCTTCCCACTTCCTCCCTGTGTTTTCCGTTTTCATTTGTCCTTCTTTCCTATGCTTTTGGCCTTCTGAGCTTTATCCCTGGGCAGAAGCTGCTCTTTTGATTTCCTTTGGCCAGTTGTTCTAAGGAGTGCGTACCCTTCTAGTGTTAATTGTTCACCTTATCAGCCTATCTGTTGTTAGGCTGAAAATTCACTTCTGACTTCAATTGAAACTCCCAGTGCCTCAGCTTCCTCATCAATAAAATGGGCAGAGTACCTACTTCATAGTTTTGTTTATGAGGACTAAATAGGCCCATCTGTATAAAATGCTTAAAAAGGTATGTACATATACCAAGTACTCAGAAAAGTTTAGCTAAGACTACGATTGTTGCTGTTATTAGTCCGTAATACAACCATGTGTGCATATACACAACACTACACACACAACGACAAAACAAAATAAAACAAGAACGCGAGGGTTGGCTGTACCATCTCCATTCTGTAAATGAAGAAACGGAGGCAGCTGTAGTGAGAGGCAGATCTGGGGGCCAGACCCGGCCTGACCGACTCCGAAGCCAGTGCTTATCACATGGGCATTTCACTGCAGGCCCATCACCAGCTGGAAGCTAAAACAATGATTTTGTGGCGTCTGGCAGACAGCCTTTTGAAGACTTGGTTTCCCACCTAGGAAACTAGGATACCCATCCTTGCACCAATTAAACACGTAGGGCCGGCAAGGGACACAAATAGAGGAACAGAAGTTCACGTGCTTTGAGAACAGTAAAGTGAGGTAAACATGAGCGGGGCAGTTCCTACAACAACAGAAGTTCACATGCTTTGTGTGCTTTGTGAATGGTAAAGTGAGGTAAAACATGAGTGGGGCTGTTTCTACTTCCCAGGGTTGAAGAGGGGCAAACAGAAACTGGAGGAGGATGAGCCGAAGGAAAGAAGCTAGAAGTTTCGATTTTGAATAAGTTGCCACTAATTGCTTCTTTCATTACAAAATATAAAAATGTATTTTTTAGAAAGGGCTAATCAGTGATTGTGATGAGCTGGTATACAGTCAAAACAGCTAGGAAGAAACCTTCTGAGACCAGGCAGTATTCAGAAGGAAATGCTTCCTGTTTTCTTGTTGGCAGCTGTCGCCACCAATGGCAGCAAGGTGACGTGGATTTACTCCCCGCCCCCAGGGAACTGGCAAGTGATTTTCTTCTAATTTGTGTGGGCTTAAACGGGGCAGAGGGAGGAAGACAGATATAAACCCGCCTTTCTAAAAGTAAAGAGAATATTGTCTAAAAGTAAAGAGAATACTGTCTGAATTCAAACTCTGCCTTGACTAAAACACACAAGAGAGTAACTTCCTCAGTGTCCGAAGCTCCTGAAAGCTGAGGGGCTGGGCTCTATGGGGGTGGGGAGGAGGATAGGTGGGAGAAAGAACCCACGTTCTGAGCATGTATTGTGTCTTGCTATAATTTAGCAAAGCTTCTTTCTTTCAAGGTAATCAGGAGCCACTGTGCTTATCCATCAATCAGGCTGAAGCCCGGCTCTCCCTGGACCAGCAGACGGGCTGGACAGCTCCATCACCGCCTGCAGGAGATCAGAGCCTGCTGATTGGATGACAGCGGGTTGGGTTGGGTTTGGTCCCTCCATGCCTCCATATGCAGGACAGTAGGAGATGCCAGAGCAATAAAGAGGCTGCAGGCTGACAAAAGGCAAGGAATTTAAAGCAAAAGGAGCAGCTAACAAAAAACCAAAACCCAACTCATAGCGGCCCGCCTGGAGTTTCTGAGGTGGTATCACTACAAAAGGAGATTGCCCAACCTTCCTTCCGAGGAGTGGCTGGTGAGTTTGAACCGCCAGCCTTTTGGTTAGCAGTCAAATGCCTTAGGCACTACACCACCAGAACACGGGGAACCAAATGTTTTGGTGGATGCAAAAAACCTTTATGAAAAATGAGGTTAATGTGGGAAATGCTATTAAAGCCTAAGTGTGCAATGCTTGCCTCTGTAATTAAATTTGCCTCAATTCCACCTCATCAGATTTCTTGAGATTACCAGGGATGCATCAATAGCAAATTACTCTTGATGAATCATTTCACAAATTGCATTGCTCCCACCTTCATGTTCTCTGTCACTGGAACATCGTTAACAAATGCAATTACTGACAAAAGGGGGGTTGCTCTGAGTGGGAGAGAGTGACCCCTCACTTGTGCAGTCTTTGGGGGAAGAGCCCTGCCTTTCTCAGAAACTCCAGAAAGAAAGCAGAAAATTCAGGGCCTGGTGAATGACCCAGCTGTCTTACTGGGGTGGGCGGGGAGAGTGGACTCAGGACCACTTCTTTCTATCCATCCCTCTATCTTCTGTCTGTCTATTGATCTAACCACCCATCCATCATCTGTCGCTCTATTATCTACCTAAGGTGCCTAAAGCATAGAGATAGGTGCTACATCCCCCCTTCTCACATCTATATTAAAAGTCCTTGGGTGGTGCAGATGATTAAGCGCTCAACCACTAAACTCAAAGGTTGACATTTTGAACCCACTCACAGGTCCCTTGGAAGAAAGCCTGATGATCTGGTGATATGACCTCCAAAAGGTCACAGCCTTGAAAACTCTATGGAGCAGTTCTCTTCTTTAACACCTGGGGTCACGATGAGTTGGAACTGATTTGACAGCAGCTCAAAACAACCTCCATATCTGGCTTTGGAAATCCTTACAGACACAAAGGCATGAGGGTCTAAATGGGCGAGTGGAGAGATGGTCGAGGACCCCAAGTAGATGGGCTTTGGCCCAGGCAGTTTTGGAAAGACCATGTTTTGCCTGGTCCAGAGGGGAACACTACCCCCACCCCCATCTGTCCATGTATTGTATTGTGGTGTTTTGGGCATTGCTATGATTCTGGAATCACTTTACTGATGAAAATCAAAGACTATAGCTTTCAGTGTGGAGTACACCTCAACATAAAGAAAACAAAAATCTTCACAACTGGACCAATAAGCAACATCATGATAAACAGGAAAAAGATAAAGCTGTCAAAGATTTCATTTTACTTGCAACCGCAATAAATGTCCATGGAAGCCAGCAATCAAGAAATCAATGTATTACATTGGGCAAATCTGCTGTAAAAGACATCTTTAAAGTTTTAAGAAGCAAAGAAGTCACTTTGAGGACTAAGGTGCTCTTAAGCCATGGCATTTTCAATCACCTCATATGCATGCAAAAGCTGGACAGTGAATAAGGAAGACCGAAGAAGAATTGATGCTTCTGAATTATGGTGTTAACAAAGAATACTGAATACACTGTGGACTGCCAGAAGAATGAATAATCTGTCTTGGAAGAAATATAGTCAGTATGGCCCTTAGAAGCAAGGAAACTTTTTCTCATGTACTTTGGACATGTTGTCAAGAGGGACCAGTCCCTGGAGAAGGATGTCATGCTTTGTAAAGTAGGTCAGCAGAAAAGAGGAAGACCCTCAATGAGATGGTGACACAGTGGCTGCAACAATGGGCTCAAACATAGCAACAGCGAGGATGATGCAGGACCGGGGAGTGTTTCGTTCTGTTGTACGCAGGGTTGGTATGAATTGGAACCAACTTGATGGCGCCTAACAGCAACATGATGCTGGAAGCTATGCCAACTGTATTTCAAATACCAGGGTCATTCATGGTGGACAGGTTTCAGCAGAGCTTTTGGACTAAGACCAGGAAGAAAGCCCTGGTGATCTACTTTTGAAACTTAGCCAGTTACAGCCTTATGGATCACGACAGAACATTATCTGATGTGCTTGATTTGGACACATCATTAGGAGGGAACAACTGCTGGGAGACCCTCAGTGAGAAGGATAGGCACAGTAGTCACAGCAGTGGACTTGAACCTGCCAGTGATCATGACGATGAAGCAGGACCAGTCAGCACTTTGTTTTATTGCACATAAGGTTGCCATGCTTCAGAGTCAACTCAATAGCAGCTATCTTGCCGTCCACCCATCTATCAGGGAACAGAGGGGACAAGGTCACAGTTTAAGAAAACATGACATCTATATACTCCTGCTTGTTCAACATACAAATTTAATAGGAAATTGCCAATTCAGACCAAGCCTCCATTTTGAGGACTGGAGGCTCCCCTATATACATGCACCCCACTCCTTGCATCACTGGTTAAATGACACCCAACCCACAACTCTTTTTAGCTAACAGCATCTGTGATGAGTTTCTGGCTTATGAGTTTGTCATCTGTTACATGGAGATGAACTTCTTCAAATACTAGGGACTCAGACATCCTGTTTCTAGGAATCTACCTTATGGATGTACCTGCCACACACATATTGTTTTATGTTCAAGGATATTTTGGGTGGCATTATCTGTAACAACAACAATAAAGGAAGCTTCTTTGTCCACCAACAGGGTAACAGACTGTGGTCTCTGAACCAAGTGAAATACTATGCAGTTGGTAGCTTTTATATGCTAACTTGGGGGGTAAAAAAAGCAAGTTTTCACGTAAAATATATTATTCCATTTTTGAAAAACAATGTTTCTGTGATTGATGATGTGTGTTTATGTTACGCTTTAAAAACACTGGAAATCTCCAAAAGGATGTACAACAAACTGTTGACAGTTACCTCGGAGGTAACCTCAAAGGTAATTTGAGTGCAAAGGGAGACATTCCTCTTGATTAAAGGAGTAGGAGAGAAGGAAATACAAAAAGAAAGTAAACCCTATGGATGGAAAAAATTAAAGAAGAAACGGCAATGGGATTCAGACTTTCTGGAGCCATGGAAGCTGGATAAATTTCTAGAAATATTGCCCCGAGATCATCTTAAAACCTCAAACCAAAAATATCCCCCAAAGTCTTCTTAAAACCAAATTAATTAGTGAAGAATGTTTGCCTTCCGCACCATGTTCTATTTAAGAATTAACTTGTATGAGATCAAATCAACGACGGCACCTGAAAAGGTCAGACAGGAAGCTTAGAAGGTGTGAGTTTATGTCAGTGGGGGAGAAACAACTCAGCAAAGGAGGGTGAGAGTGGTCTCAGAACTTAAAGAATGCTACCAATGCCACACACTGTAATGTAGACATTGTTGAATTGATGCATGTTTGCTGTGCATATTTTCAACAAATTACTGACAAGAAAAGAAAAGGCAGGCACCTCAGGGGTCCTGCCTCCTTCTCCCTGCCTCCCATGTCCAATAAAAACCACTATCCTGAGCTTCCTGCTAATCATTCCCCTCATTCCTCATAGCTTTCTACTGATTCACAAATTCTGAAATAATATATGGTTGGTGTTCCCTGTTTTTGAACTTTAAATAAATGCACCATGATATATTATTTCTTCTGTGATATGCCCCCCTCACGATTATGTTTTAAAGACTCATTTAAGTTAACACACGAGGCTGTGTTGTATCACGTTCACTGCTGCCTGGTACGCCATCATCTGAATAGGTCACTAGATGGTTTATCCATTCAAATGTGGGAAATCTGGATTGTAGTCAGTTTTGTGTTACTATGAATGAGACTGCTGTGAATATTTCTGCCCAAATTCCTAGAGTATAAACCCAGGGGTGGAACTGCTGTGGGGTAGGACATGCGAATGTTGAATTACTCACTGCCTTTGAGTTGATCCCGACTCAGCGACCCCTTCTTGGGTTTCCAAGGCAGTATCTCCATGGAAGTAGATTCTCCAATCTTCCTTCCAAGGAGTGGCTGGTGGTTTGAACCTCCAGCCTTCTGGTTAGCAGTCAAATACCTTAGGTATTATGCCACCAGAGCTTCTTCAACTTTACTAACAAATGCTAAACTGTTTTCAAAACCAGTTATATCAACTGACCCTTCCACCAGCTGTGCGTGGCTACCCATTATTCCCCAACCCCACAAACCTACATTTTCCAATATGGAGGGGTGTCAAATGAAATGTCTTTTTGTTTACTTTTTTGTCTTTCTCATTATTAACAAGGCTGACTCATGTTCTCTTATTGGCTCATAGTAAGGAGCCCTGGTGGTATAATGAGTAAAGCATTTGGCTGCTACCCAGGCAATGGTTCTGACCCACCAGCTGCTCTGCAGGAAGAAGATGAGGAAATCCACTTCTGTAAAGATTTACAGCCTTGGAAACCCAATGGGGGTCACTATGAGTTGGAATTGACTCGATGGCAGTGGGTTTTAAGGATCTGTAAACATTTCCTGTAGAGTGCCAGACAGGAAATATTTTTGGCTTTGTGGGCTATGTGGTCTCCATCACAACTACTGAAAACATAAAGGAGTCCTAGAAAATATGTCAACAAATGGATATGAATGTCTTCCAAGAAAACTTTATTTAGGACATCAGATAGTGGGCTGGATTTGGCCTGTGGTCTGTAGCTTGCCAAGTTCCAATTAATAGGATTGTTTTATGTATCCTGACTACGAGCACTGTGTTTGAGGTGTAGCCAGTCTCACTCACTAGTATGTGGTTTGTCTTTTCAACTAGTGTATCATATTTTTGATGAATAGAATTTGCTAATTTTAATCATTATTGTTTTAAAAGGGGAACAATATTGCCTTCCCTGTCTTGTCTCAAATATGATCAATGGCTTCTGGAAGCCCAATAGAAGAGTTCCACCAGGTACCTAATAACAGACAGATGACATCACCTCTGTGTGCAGGTAGAAAACGAGACACTTCTTTATGGCCAATGAGTAGGAGAGAAAGTGCCGCGAGCAGGCAGCATGTTCCCCGGGGCAGCCTGCATTCTTCATCTGAGCATCACTGCCTGCAGTGGCCAAGGGACCGCAATGTCCCCAGGGATCTCCCCATAGGCGCTGGGAGTACTCACCCGGTTTGATGGGCTGCCTGTTTGAGAAAGTCAGCGGTGCAACAAGGAATTTGGTCTCTGCAACGGGTACCCAGTGGTGGAGGATTTTCACTGTCCACACCCCAGGCCTCAGGGGCAAGTTCAAAGGGGGCTTGTAGTGGGTGAATTCGGCAGTGGACTCAATCAAGATGTCGTAGGTGGCTGCGATGACATTGACGGGGTCTACCCAGATGACGGTCACTGTCACGTTGGGCCCCTTCCCCCATTTCTGCATGCCCACCGGCTCATCCATGGGCCCCAGGAGACCCCCAAAGTTGCGGAACAGTCGTTCCTTGGCATCCCAGTCAGTGCCGACCTGAAACGGAGAGGAAACCACTGGGAATGAACTTGGGCTAGGTCCCACACAGGCCTAAGTTTCTTCTTGTTAAGCCCCATACTCCCCACTTTACAGATGAGGAAACTGAGGCTCTGGTCCTAGCCTGGCATTATTACAAGTCCTATGGCTCTTTCATGAGCAATCTCTGGGTAGCATAAATGGTTAAGTACTTGGCTAATGGAAAGGTTGGTGGTTCAAATCCCCTCAGACTCACCTCAGAAGAGAGGTCTGATGATCTCCTTCTGAAAGATCACAACAATTGAGAACGTTACAGAACACAGATCTTCTCTGCACAGGGCTGCCATGAGTCTGAATCGATTTCATGGAAATTTTTGCGTTTTTTTTGGTCCTTTCACTAACTTTTGGGCCTTCTGAGTCTGGTACATAGTGTGCTTTAGAAAAATATGTGCCCAAATGAAATGTGCATCAATGAATGACTTGCGGCCATTACAAGGAAACACACTTTTGTGCCCAAGAAAGACAGCTTCACGTTGGGCTCTTGGCTTCCCCGAGTGTGTTCCCCACACTGGGGAACATCGTCCTGAACATGACTGAGCTGCAGGTTTCGGAACACATCTCTTATAATCAACAAGAGTCCCTCAGCACTGGCCATCACCAGACACCAGTTAAAACGGCTTTCTGAGGATGACCCAGGTCTGGCCTCCCAGTAACAGTCTGTGCTGGGTCCTAGGCACACGGGGAGGTGGCTGTACGCTGCAGCCTTCCTGGCAGCCAGCTGGGCATATGTGGCTTTGACCCATAGAATCTCTTCTTGGCTATCCCTCCTTCCTCAAAAACCCTCTGCAATTTATCTTCCACTCAGTAGCCAGAAAGACTTTATAAATAATGTCCCTTCACTGCTCAAAATCTTCATGGCTTCCTAGTGTGCTCAGCATCTGAGGGCGTCCCCTCACTGTAGCTCTGAGGCTGTACGTGAGCTGGCACCTGCCTCCCTCTACAACCGTCTCTTGCTCACAATGTGGCAGCCATGCTTACCTTCCTTCAGCCCCTCAAACTTACGGGGCTCACTTCTACTTCAGGGCTCTTGCACCATCTGCTATGCCTGGAATATTCTTTCCTCAACATTTTTGCACAGTAAGCCCCTTATCTCTGAGGCCTTCCCAGTCTTCCACTCACTGCCCTAGTCTGAAATGGCCCTTCAGTCACACACTGTCACACTCAGCTGGTTGATTTTCTTTGCACCAGGGCCGACAAGCACTACCTGAGAACTGCTTGATGATGGATTTATTTTCCTCTGTTCTCCTGTGTGAACGTGGGCCTGGTATGTTGTGCCCACCACTCTTTCTGCATGCCTAGAAGTGTGCTCAGCACACAGTAGGTGCTCACTCAACATCTGTCAAATGGATGAGCAAATGGCTTTATATAAAATGAATTAACTACGTAGATTCCTGATGCTAAGCTCTGACGCTATTTCAAACCAAATTAAATTAGAGGTCTTAGGCTCCCCCCCCCCCGGGGGTTAATTTCGTGTTTCAGGAGACACAGCATGGGAGCAGGCTGGAGGAAGATAATGAGTACAGATAAGGCTCACGCTGTCTCTGTGGTCTTTCCAGAGCCCACAGGCAGCGCTCATGTGTGCTTGCCATGGTCACGGCGTAGATGTGGGTGTAGGCATATCTGCGCCCTGAGAAGACCTCATATGCGCAGTGCAAACATGAGTTGATTTACTTTCTCGTTTACTTTCTCGTTGTTCTTGCCATAGGTCACTATGTCCGTTCTTTACCTAGGACACAGAGCAACACAGCTAATATTTACTGAGAGCTTACTGTGTGCCAGGCATAATGCTAAGCACTTGGATGCATCAATTGACTTAATATTCCCAGTCCTATTGAGGGGAGACCCTTGTCATCATCCTTAATGTACAGACAAGGAAACAGGTTCAGAGAAGTCAAGAACTTGCTCCAGGTGCCACAGCCAGTAAAGGGCAGAGCTAGGAACCCAGGAAGTCTGATCCTAGAGGTTACATTCTTATATGTTGCCTCCCATTCACTCTCACTCACTCACTCACTCACTCACTCACTTACCCACCCACCCACCAACCCAACACATGTGTACTGAGCACCTACAACCTGTCAGGGGCGCATATTTGCTTCCAGAGTTTTACTCAGACCAGAGCCTGAAAACTGGGGCTGCGGAGCTGTCCTATGGGTGGTGGAAACAGCTATTGCTCTGGCAATAGCATTTTTGCAGAAGCTTTCTGGGAAGAGAGAAGACCTGTGCAAAGGCCCTGAGGCTCCAGAATGAAGCTTCGTGTGCTCAAGGAGCAGCAGGCTTATGTGATCTGGGCACTTTCTGCCACTCTGGGGCCAGTAGGGGCTGCATTCTCCTGAGAGCCCCTGGGGCTTAGCACAGAGCCTGACACACGGGGAGGCGGGGGAATTCAAACACTATTATTGACAGAAGGACTCAGTCACTGAATGAGCAGGACTGAAGGGAGGCCTTAAAACTTGGGAGAGTTTTCTAAAGGCATCTGATCTTACTTCCCTATTGACAACCCTTTTCAGCTACTCCTCATTGGTCTGAAGTCCTGTCTCCTCACTCTGTCCTCTGAGACTTTTTTTGGTCTGGCTGTGGCTTTGCCTGCCCCTCTGTTAGCTCCAGGCTGCCTGGTCTCATTCTCAGTGGGTGCCGTGGATAAAGGGCCCTCTGGTGCCCTGCCCCTATGGCCATGCCCAGTCCTCTTCTGAACAGTCTGCCACCTCTCCCACCCTCCTTGGGCCAGCTCCTCCTTATCACCCAGAGTGAGCCCAGGTGAACGCTCTTCCTGGGAGTCACAGCCCATTAATTTAACTGCTGAAAATAGGTTGTATACCCATACAAAGTTGAATTGGCAAAATCTGTGTGACAGATACATTTACAACAGCAATAACAAAAAAGACAGCAGCTACTGAGGCTGCTTATGTACAGCCTAACACTTCAAGGGATTTATTTGTTTGGAGGTTTAGGGGTATGGCTTCATAGGGCATCCCAGTTAAGTAGTGTGATAGCATGTTCAGTACTTCTGTTCTACCTCTTAGTTCACTCCATATCGCCTAGAGTCTTAAAAAGCTTGCAAGAGGACACTCAAGGCACAAAACAATTGGTCTCTATTCCCTTGGAACAATAAAAGAAGAAGAAAGAGTTGGGAGGGTATGGAATGTATGGCTAATTGCCTCCAGGAACAACTGTCATCTTTGCCATGAGCTCAGAAGAAGTGGATGGTGCCTGGCTACCATTACTGCAGATTTTGATTAAAGATTCCATAGAATAATATTGATCAAAAGGGGGAACATGCAGAACAGAACATAAAATTTTCATGAAATCCAGACTTTCTGGAGCCATGGAGGCTAGATGAACTCTTGAAACTACTGCCCTGAGATAATCTTTAAACCACAAACCTTAAATCAAAAATATTCCCTAAAGTCTTTGTAAAATCAAATAATAGTTTAGCTTAACTAGCAAAGACTGTCTGCCTTGAGCACTGTGCTCTTTTAAGGAACTATCTCTATGGACCAAACTGACAATAGTAACTAGAAATCTGTGATAGGAAATTTAGAAGAAAGTGAGTGTTAAGTGGGGACAAACAATTTGGGAAAGGAGGGTGAGAATGGCTGCATACCTTGAAGAAAATAAGCAATGTCACTCAATGTAGAAATTGTAGAAGTGGTGTATGTTCTGCTGTGTATATTCTCAACAATAAAAATAAGATCAATTATTAAAAAAAAAAAAAAAAGTCCCCATCACTCCCACCCTCTGAGTCCCCAGCAATCACATCAAACTTTTATTGTCTTTACAGTGCTTGTCATTAGAGGAAATATTTTTGTGCATTTATTTACTCATTCACTGTCTGCTGTCCCTATAAAAAGCAAACCTGTTGCCTTCACATCAATCCTGACTCATAATCACTCACAGGTAGGAGTGGAACTAGCCCATGGGTTTTCCAAGGCTGTAATCTTTATGGAAGCAGACTGCCACATCTTTCTCCCTTAGAGTGGCTGGTGCGTTTGAACCACCAATCTTTCAGTTAGCAGCTGAGCACTTAACCAATGTGCCACCAGGGAACCTTCTGACCATTCCCACTAGACCGCAATGCCATGACAATGAGGGCCTGGTTCAACTGGTTCACCACTGTACCTTCTGAACTGAGCACACTGTAGGCACTCAATGACTAGCTGCTGAAAGAATGAACATCTTTTCTCCAAGTCACAGCCTGGGACGGCCATGGGACGGAGAAACCTATCAGAGCTGTTCAACAAAACTGGCCACCAAGCGTCAGCCTGGCACTATGCAATACCTGGGGACAGTGCTAACGTAAAGGTGATTCAGCAGCCCACAAAGTGGCCTCACAGTTCTTCCCTTCCTTCTGGTTTAATTTTATTTCATTTGCCATTAAAAATAATTAAGATTCTCAGAAAAAAAATTCCAAACACAAGACCCAAGGCTCTTGGCCATCACCTGCCAGTGTTCTGCCAATGGTTTTGACCAGAGAACCAGACCTATGGTAGGAACCTGTGCAATCATGAGCCATGGCGTAGCACCATCATTTATCACTGCCAGAGGTGCCCTGTCACCCCACAGCAGGCTGATAAACAGGGAGACATCAGCCACCAGACATCCATCTCTTTAATGGGGCATTAATATCTTCAATTGGCCACTTGGGCCCCCAACACAGAATCCAGCTGGGGCAATGTCTAGTGGTCCCTTGACATCAGTAATTTATCAGTGGATTCCTATGGTGGCTCACATCCAGTCAAACCATTTGGAAACTTTAATTGAACATGGTGCATTAACAAGAAAACTCCACTCAGTCCCTGTTAGACTGGGGACCCATTCAGTGGAGGCATGGGTCAGCCTTTATTGTCTTTACAGTAAAGGGTCATGGAGGCTGAAGAAAGATTGTCAAGGAGTATAAGCAGGTGGGCCCTGCACTGCTAGCCCTTCAAGATTCTCCATCTTCAACAATCAGACTCCTCCTTCTTAACCCAGCCATCCAGCTCACTGGGAATGCTTATCTCCAGGGAACCACCTCCTTGTCTATGTACTGACACGGTGAGGGCAGACATCAGGTACTGAAGGCCTGTGTGATCCAAGTCTGATCCTTTCTCCCTTCCTTTCAGCATCACCGCCCAAGTGCATTCCACTCACTCATTCAAAAATATGGCTCAGTGTGTCTGTAGAAGAACTCTGACCAAAAAGGGAGAAAATGCAGAGCAGAATATCAATGTCTCATGGAATCCAGACTTTCTAGAGCCATAGAGGCTGGATGAACCCCTGAAACTATTGCCTCTTGAGATAATCTTTAAAACTTAAACCAAAACTAATCCTCAAGACTTCTTAAAACCAAACATTAGTTTTACTTAACTAGTGAAAAAATCTACCTTCAGCATTATGTTCTTTTAAGAATTATCTACATGGGTCCAAGTGAAAATGATGACTCCAAATATTAGCTAGGGACCACAGGGGCAGGGAGTTGATGTTCATGGGAGAGGAGCAACTCGGTCAGATGTGATCAGTGTCACTGAATTGTGTTTGCAGAAGTGGCTGAACTGGCATATGCTTTGTTGTGTATATTCTCAACAAGAACAAAACTAAAAAAATAGGAGCATCTACAAATGCTCTGTGCTCTTCTATGTGTTGGGAAAGCAACAGTGAATGGCAGAGATGGAGACCCAGCTTTCTGTGGACAGTCAACAAGCAGTCACATAAATGATTAAGACAGTCAACATGGCAAATGCTAGGAAACAATGGAGAACAAGAAGGTGGGAAGTGCCAAGTGGGGAAGGGGCAACGTTTGGACTGAGATCAGAATGGCAAAAAAAAGAGAGCTATTGTTGTTAGTTGCCATCAAGTTGAATGTGGCTCATAGGAACCCCACGTGTTACACAGGGGTTTTCTTGGCTGTAATTTTAACAGAAGCAGATCACCAGGCCTTTTCTGCCGCTGCAGTACTGCTGTGTGAGTCTGACAAAAGAGCTCACTCCAGGACAATCCAGGGAAAGGCAGTCTAGGCAGGAGGATCAGCATGTGCCAAGCCTGAGGCAGAAACCAGCCTGAGCATGTCTGACACAGTGGACACGTGAGCAGAGAGGAGAGAGGGACTGGAGGAGGCCAGAAAAGCAGATGGAGGTCACGTTGTGCAGGACCTTCCAGGTCTGGAGACAGCACTGATGTTACGGGGCTGGTGCTGGGAACTAAAATGGAAGGGGGACTGTTATCCTGTTTGTGTACTGATCCAGGCATCCACCATTCATCCATTCAATGACCGGTCTAGTGCTTCTTTGAGCTAAGCCCTGTGCTAGGAACTGGGGAGCTATGATCCAGCAAATCACTGGATCTCTGTAGGCCCCAGTCCTCCAATACATAAAATGGGGCTAAGGCACAATTTCATTAGGAAGCTGGGCTGTTAGTGGTCTCTCACTAACAGGGTTTGGAGTAGCTACTGGCTACTCACTGCTGTATATAAGGTCACTACAATTTGGAACTGACTTGACAGCAAAAACCAACAACACTGACTGGGATAAAAAATTAACAGGAAAGAAATTCTACAATAAATTATGTACCAAAATAAATAATAAGAAATACACTGAAAATGAACCAGGTTGGTTTGGTCCTCTGATGTCGACCACCCTGCTTAAATCTCAGCTCCTACATTCAGGCCTGGAGACCTTTCTCTAGGCACAGGGTGAGCACAGCTTTGAGAGCTGTCTCTGGAGCTCTCCAAATCCTCTTCTCCTCTACCTCCAACTACAAGCTGTGGAGCAGGACCCAGTAAGGGGCTTCAGTGGCATGTGACTGCATCTGGCCTCTTACCTCAGAAAACTGAAGCCTCCCAAAGTCGCTGGGTGGGCTGGCGATCTTGAAGACTTTCTTGGGCATCACCCATGTCTCCAGGGTCTCGAGTTTGCTCACAGCCAGATTGGTAGCATGATGCTTGATCAGAAAGCCCTGGAAACGGTCAGCAAGGAAGTAGAGGTGGACAGACACTGGGTGGCCCATTGGGTAATACCTGAAAAACAGGCAAAGGCTCACACAAGCTCACGGGTTAGGGCCTGCAGGTGTGTGGGATCACAGTGGGGAACCCCACCCACCATGCCAGTCCTGTTCCTGCAATAAGTCTGGTCACAGCTCTTCCTTTTATGTAAGGCTTTATATAATGCCAAGAAGCTCTGGTGGAACAGTGGTTAAGGTACTTGACTGCTAACCCAAAGGTTGGCATTTCAAACCCACCAGCTACTCCATGGGAGAAAGATGAGGCAGTCTGCTTCCATAAAGATTTATAGTCTTGGAAACTCTATGGGACAGCCGTACTCTGTTCTCTAGTGGTACTGTGACTTAGAATCAAACTCAGTGGCAGTGGGTTTGGTTTTACACCACATTCCTCTGTATTAGGGTGCTCTGTTGGCATAGTGCCTAAGGCATTTGACTGCTAACCAGAAGGTTGGCGGTTCAAACCCATCAGCCACTCCTCGGAAGGAAGGTTGGGCAATCTACTTCCGTAGTGATACCGCCTCGGAAACCCAAGGAGGGGTTGCTATGAGTCAGATCCGACTCCACAGCAGTGTTTTTTTTTTTTTTTTCCTCTGTATTAATCTGAAAACTATCCTTATGAATCTTAATGACTATTTTAAAAACTACTTGATTTATAGCAAAGGTCCCTTTTTAAAATATATACCAAAAATAAAACTAAACTCACTACCATTGAGCCAATCCTGACTCACAGTGACCCCACTGGGTTCCTGAGGTGGTAAATCTTTATGGAAGTAGATTGCCCCATCTTCCTTCTGTGGAGCTGCTGAGGGGTTTGAACCACCAACCTTCTGGTTAGCAGTCAAATGTTTTAGGCACTGTGCCACCAGAGCTCCTATACAGTAGAACATACATCAATTCAACAATACCTACATGTACAATTCAGTGACAATGACTATACTCAAGTTGTGTAAGCATCCTCAACCTCCTTGCCCAAACTGTCCCTCCACTATTAACATAAACTCACTGCCCCCTCAGTTAACTATCTCATCTTGTGAGTTGCTATTGTCAATTTGATCCACACAGTGCTCAAGGCAGTCATTGCTTACATAGGTAATAGGTTTTGGGGTTCATCTAGCCTCCATGGCTCCAGAAAGTCTGGATTTCATGAGAATTTTAAATTCTTTTGCATTTTCTCCTCTTTGATCAGGACTCTTCTATAAAATCTTTGATCAAAATGTTCAGTAGTGGTAGCTGGCATCATCTAGTTCTTCTGGTCTCACGGAGGCAATTAACCACACATTACATTTCCTCCTCCTCCTCCTGACTCCTCTTCCCCTGTTGCTCACATAATCCTAACAACCATTAATAATGTTTTTGCTGATTATAAATGTAAAACATGCTGAATGTAATAAGATACAGTAAAGAACATAAAAATTGCTTTTGATCTCTCTTCCCTTAGAAAATGTTAATTGACCATTTATTAAATCCCACTGGGGCTAAGTACTGGGGAGTAACAGTGGCAAGCAACCACTGTCCTAGTGCCATACTTCTTCCAGCCCTCCTCTGGTGTAGCTCAGTGCTGAAGGCATTTGACTGCTAACCAGAACATTAGTGGTTCAAATCTACCAGACCCTCTGTGGAAGGAAAATGGGGCAATCTACTTCCGTAAAGATTTACTGGTTCAGAGACTCAATGGGGGTCAATATGAGTTAGAATCAACCTGAAGCAGTGAGTCTGGTTTTTTTGGTTTTACATGCATAAATATTACGCATTGCAGTCGAGTCGATTTTGATCATACAGGACAGGGTAGAATTGCCCCATAGGGTTTTCACGGCTGTAATCTTTACAGGAGCAGATGACCACATCTCCCTCCAGTGGAGCAACTAGTATGTTCAATCCACCGACCTTTCAGTTAGCAGCTACACACTTAATAATTGCACCATCAGGGATCCTGCAAATATCACATCAAACCAAAAACTCACAGTAACCTCCATGGGGTTCCCAAGGCAGTTAATCTTTATAGAAGCAGATTGCCTTGACTTTCTTCTGTGGAGTGGCTGGTGGGTTTGAACCTCCAACCTTCTGGTTAGCAGTCAAATGCCTTAGGCACTGCACACCCAGAGCTTCTTGAAAATATCACATAGTTGGGATCATATATATATATACATTGTTGTTGTTGTTACGTGCCGTCGAGTCGGCCCCGACTCATAACGACCCCTCCTTGGGTTTCCAAGGCAGTATCACTACGGAAATAGGATTGCCCAACCTTCCTTCCAAGGAGTGGCTGGTGGGTTTGAACCACCAGCCTTCTGGTTAGCAGTCAAGTGCCTTAGGCACTATGCTACCAGAACTCCTGTATGTATGTATGTATATGTATATATATTTACTAGGTTTTATCCAGGAACTCTGGTGGCATAGTGCCTAAGGCATCTGACCGTTAACCAGAAGGCCAGCAGTTCAAACCCACCAGCCACTCCACAGAAGGAAGGTCGGGCAATCTACTTCCATAGTGAAACCACCTCAGAAACCCAAGGAGGGGTCGCTATGAGTCGGATCCGACTCCATGGCAGTGAGTTTGACTTTGGTTTGAGGTTATGTACTGCTCTTCCTTAATAACCTTTCCTGAGTGTTAGCATGTATCTTTGTAAATTCTCTGAGAAGTGTTTTTGGTGAGTGCAGATGTCTAATATGCCACGGCTTAAATACCATCATCTATTGAGCAAGTTCCCTGTTATTGGCTGTTTACCTGGTTTCTACTTTGGGGCTATGATAAACAATGCTGCATTAGACATCCCTGAGCAAAAATGCATTTGGAGCATGTCTCTTTAATCTCAGAGGGGCTCCCGTGTCTGCTGTCCAACTTCATTAGAAAGGCTGTTCTGATTTATATTCTCACGGTCCTTCTGACCATCAACACTGGATAGTATCTTTAAAAGGGACTGCCCATCTGACAGGCAAAACCAAATAAGTAAATAAAAGGAAGGTCACTGTTTGAAAACGCATGTCTTAAATCCGCAAAGGCTTGCTGGTATAAAGGGGTAGGGATCTAAGCAGAGACGCCTAGGAGAGAAGAGGGGCAGAGAAGGGTGGAGGGAGGGCCGTGGGGAAGCCCTGTTTGATGTCCTTTCTACTTGTAAAAAGAAAAGGCTGCCACCTCGGCAATGTGTAAATCTACAGCACTTCGGGGGTGTGTGTGGCTCCTTAATGCCAGCATTTCACAAATCACCAACCTGGCTCAGCTAAACGCAGCCTCTCCTCAGGATGCAATCCAGAGACCAATTAAAATGGTTAGGGAGGCCTCCTTTCATAGGCATCCCCTGTAATCACTACCTTGTTACTGGGTTGCCTCAGGGCCTGAGCCGTCATCAGATTGGTCACTGAGCATTCAGGGGTCTGCCATTCTAGAAAGCCCTCCCCCTCCACTGATGCCTGAGCAGCCAAGTCTAGGCAGCGCTGTGCAACAGAACTTTCTGCAGTGGACACGTTCTAACCTGTGCTGTGCAGTATGGTAGCCACTGGAAACACCTGGGGTCCCTGGGTCGTAAAAGCGGTAGCGTTCTCGGCTGCTAACTGAAAGGTGGGAGGTTCACATCCCCCCAGAGGTGCTCGAAATAACAGTCTGGCAATCTGCCTCTGACCAACCAGCCCCTGAAAACCTTCAGGAGCACAGTTCGACTCTGACACACATGGAGTTGACATGATAACACACAGGGAGTTGCCACGATCATACACATGGAATCAACTCATTGGCAACAGGTGTGGTGGTGGTGGTGGCAGCCATATGGGCTACTGAGCTCTTGAAGTGTGGCTAGTGCAACTGGGGAAAAGAATTTTTAGTTTTATTCAATTTTGTTAACGTAAACAGCCACTTGTGGCTAGTCGCTACTGTATTGGAAGAAACAGGTAGAGTCAGGGGAAAGTAACTGTGGTCACCTGCAGTAACGTCCCAACTTCTTCACCCCTTTGAGGACTAAGGTGTACCTGACCCAAGCCATGGTATTTTCAATCACCTAATATGTGAACAAAAGCTGGACACTGAACAAGGAAGACTAAAGAAGAACTGATGCCTTTCCATTACAGTGTTGGGGAAGAATATTAAATATACCGTGGACTGCCAGAAGAACAAACAAATCTGTCTTAGAAGAAATACAACCAGAATGCTCCTTAGAAGTGAGGATAGCAAAATTTCAACTCATATACTTTGGACATGTTATCAGAAGGGACCAGTCCCTGGAGAAGGACATCATGCTCGGCAGAGCAGAGGGTCAGTGAAAAAGAGAAAGACCCTCAATGAGACGGACTGACACAGAGGCTGCGACAATGGGCTCAGGCACAGCAGTGATTGGGAGAATGGGCCATGTTTCATTCTGTTATACATGGGGCTGCTGTGCGTTGGAAACGACTTGCTGGCACCCGACAACCTTGCCCCTCTCGTGATTGCGCTCTTTTCCACACGACTCTGCAGTTCTTGCTGCAACAGCAAGGCAGAGTCTACTTCCCTGTCTCTTGACTCAGGGCTGGCCTTTCAACTTGCTTAGGCCAAGAGGATGTGGAGGAAGGGATGCTGTGGCTACTTAGCCTAGGCATTAAGATGCCTTGTGCATTTCTACTTACCTCTCTTGCTTTTTGGTGAGCATCATGAGAGCGTGCCTGAGCTAACCTGCTGGACGATGAGACACTGGAGTGCAGCAGAGGCCCCTTACTTGTTCCAGCCGAAGCCATTCCGGATCAGCCAAGAGCCAGCCAACTCCCAGTCAAGGTCAACAGAGCCACCCTCCTGATCACAGCTGACTGCAGACACAGGAGTGAGCCCAGCTGAAGCCTGGAAAACTGCCCAGCTGACCCATGAACTTGGGCACTAAATAAATGCTTAGTGTTTCAAAACACAGCATTACTGTGGCAATAAAGTCAGACTCGTTGCTGTTGAATTGATCTGGACTTACGGTAATCCCAAGTGTCACAGAACAGAACTACTCCATAGGGTTTTCAAGGCTATAATTTCTACAGAAGGAGCCCTGGTGGCACAATGGTTAAAAG